GTCATGATAATTGACTTGTTATATTAGACACGACTCATTCCCAAGCAACAATCAGTAAGAATTGTAATAAAAGGGGCAATGTGCTTATAAGCAACATTACAAAACTACAAGAAACTTGTAATGAACAAGTCCTCAAACATGAGCTTGCAAGTTAACATACCAAACTCTTGCAAGTACAAGTCATTCACAAATGATAATGGAATTCATGCAATGAATTGACTTGAGATAGTTGCAACGACTACAAAGATACATGATTGATATGATAATATCTTTATAGTCAATATCATCACCTAAACAAGCAAATGAGATCTTGCAAATAATGAATGATTGAAAAGCATATGCAGTTTGATTGTGCGCACATGATGGCGAGCAGATTTATCATGACAGCTACAAGCTATTTCTAGAAGCAGTGCAAGACTCGTGAAATAAACAAACATGAGAAATACAATAACATTTTCATAGGCGGGTGTCATTATGCAAATGAGCAAGTGGAAAGTAAAATCCCAATGTGTATGAATAGTGGATAATGAACAGTAAATCGGCTCGCATGTTTCAATCCACCAAGTTATAAATGATTTGTAGATGTTACGAAGGAGGGATTCTTTATGAATACATCAACATGCTTATGAGTAGAAGGCAGAGATATGTGACAAAGGAAATGACACTCCAATCAGTATGCTCATAATCAAAAACATGAAGCTTCCAGTAAGCATTATATACACTAATGCCCATCAAAATGCAAATGCCAACGAACAATGCGAGAAGATGCACATATCTCCTAGAAGCAAGGGAAATTCAACATGTGTTGAATTGAAGGGCATGACCTCTTTGAATAATTCAAAAAGGATATAGCTTTCATGCAATTAATATTATTCAGCCGCAAACAAACACACCTGTCCTCAACTAGCAAAAATAGAGAATATATAACAAATACAAATTGTCAAAGACTTATTCTACATTCAACATGCTGTCTGTGGGCAAATGTGAAAGAATCGCAATAGATATAAGCATCTACAATTGAAGGCAGGAGATTAGTTAATGCAATATAATCTACATGCGCAAATCATGCAAGTAGTGCACGACAATCTACCTGTACAAAACAGCAAATAACTGATCCAAAAGCTACTACTTCACGCCACCAGATCTAAAACATTCGTACGAGCAGACAGAAGGCGTCCACAAACTACAACGCCACGCCACCGGATCTGCAATATTCGTACGAGCAGATAGAAAGCGTCCACAAACTACAATGCCACGACACCGAATCTGCAACATTCGTACAAGCAGATAGAAGGCATCCACAACTAAAACGCCATGCCACTGGATCTGCAACATTCGTACAAGCAGACAGAAGGCGTCCACAAACTATAATGCAACGCCACCGGATCTGCAACATTCGTACAAGCAGACAGAAGGTGTCCACAACTACAACAGGATGCCACCGGATCTGCAACATTCATACAAGCTGACAGAAGGCGTCCATAACTACAACACGATGCCACCGGATCTGCAACATTCGTACAAACAGACAGAAGGCGTCCACAAATTACAATGCCACACCACCGGATCTGCAATATTCATACAAGCAGACAGAAGGCGTCCACAACTACAATGCCACGTCACCAGATTCACAACTTCTATACAAGCGGATAGAAGGCGTCCACAACTACAACACGACGCCACCAGATCTGCAACATTCGTACAAGCAGACAGAAGGCATCCACAAACTACAATGCCACGCCACCGGATCTACAACATTCGTACGAGCAGACAGAAGGCGTCCACAACTACAACGCCACGCCACCAGATCCGCAACTTTTATACAAGCGGACAGAAGGCGTCTACAAATACTTTCAAAATATCCATGCACGTGCACCGTAGCTTGTATACACATAGGTACACAAAAAGGGTATGTTAAATCAATGAAATTAACAAACACCCGCATGGGCCTCGACGAGCGTGTTATTGGTACACACGTGATGTCTAGGGATGCTGTGCGGGTTATTAAAGTTGAACCCGATCCTCCTAAGCCAGGTAGGTAGGAGTTGATAAGGTTCAGCAAATGATTACAAAATACCCCCAAACACATGCATGGGCCCCAGCGAGCGTGTTATTAGTACACACGTGATGTCTAGGGATGTTGCGCGGGTCGATAAGTGAATTCAAGTTCGAACCCGATCCTTTTATACGGATCTATAGGAGTCAACAGGGTTCGAACCTTCAAACAAATATACGATTATGGCGACTGATATATTTGTATTAATACATTCATATTAGGCATTCAAGATCTATAACAATATGAATTCACTAATAAAGGCACAAATACTACAAAACCTGATCCCCTATCGGCAAGTCGATAGGGTCGAAAAGGTTCAAGACATAAATATTTTCAAATGACCCATAACACCCCGATGATGGCCGTGTTGAACGCAAATCTCAACTGGAGAGGTCCATTAAAAATGCTTTTCAAAACTCCACACAAATACCCATAAAATCCAAAATCCCAAAAAATTCCAAATCCAAATGTTTAAAATTGAAATCAAACCATTAATCACTTAAAGCAAAATCCATCCACCCTCCGCAACAGTTTGCCAAGGTGGATAAATTTGAAAATTACTTCAGCTCACAAAGAGATAATGCCTAGTCGAAAATATCACTATGATCCATTTTCAAACAGTCTCCTTCTAGGGAGGACGTGGTACGTGTCCTCTAACCGGCAGTTTTGCCGCCCAATGACACCGTAGGATAAACGGTTATGACCCGAGGCCCTCTGAACCGAGTGGTTTTGCCGCCAAATGGCACCACGAAATACCGGTTATGGCCAGAGCCGATACGCTCCTTAGTGGCATCAAATCCTTGAGATATGAATCAATAGGATATGATCGATAAGGCACAAAGCCCTCTGTTAGCTAAGGTGGATTCAAATTTGTCCCTTTAGACAAACATTCATCCCAGGTCTACAAGATCCCCTTGGACGAAGCAACCCATGGCTGCCGACAAGGATCCTTCTGTCAGGTTAGGTCGACTACCTCCTATGACTAAGTAGATCATGGACCATGATGGCCTGGGACGACGGAACCATGAGATCTTGATCGGGCCCATCATCCATTCCCCCACCATCTGCTTTAAGTACAATATGGTAAAAATTGTTATTTTAAATATCAAACATTCAACTTCCAACATTCCAAACCCTTTGAATTTCCAAATCTAAACTTATTGCTGCTACTATATGCCAGATAACACGTATATTCAATGTATCTGATTGACGACTAGCCTTAATAGAAAGTTCTCTCTCGTGATCGGGAGGGGTAATTAACTATAGGGGCTTGCGCCTATAGGAAACCAGAACTCAGATCATAAAGTCCTCACAAAATGAGGGCGAAATCTCTAGGTAGTGTCTTATCTACAAACCCATATGCCTTCCAAAATTTACCCCGGAACTAATTCCGTTAAAACTCCCTTGCCAAAAACAAAAAGCAAAACAATCAGTTGCGCGGCGGGGAGGCCGGGGCCGAATTTTTGGAGCCCACAATTTTCTTATAATAGGAGGGGTATTTATAATGCTTAGGTAAACCAAGTTTACAAAATAGATTAAGTTTATAATATATAATCGGTCTACCTAAGACAAACTTACAATATAATACAAGAAAAAAACTAGTGCTTACTATTTAATTTGCACTTTATTTGGCTAAAGATATATTGTTGATGCATAACACTCTTATCACATGGAAAGGAATCTTGTCCCCAAGGTTGAGAGAAGGAAAAGATGAAGAGAGGGTGGCACAAAATTTTCATGTGACATCATCCAAAAATTTAATTTCTATTGCTTAAAGGTAGAATGAAAATAAAGTTTGAAAAATAAAAAGTTTTATGTAGTTCATCTAAAAATTCATCTACTATTGGAATTGAAAAATTATCTTGAATGGTATATATTAATGGCTCTAGAGTTAATGCAAAAATGCCAAGTACCATTAGCATCCTTCTGAAAATGTGGCATGATAAAGACATATGTTAACTAGTTGAGATAAGGATGGAAGATGAAAAAGATGGTCAGGTTGAGGTAAATCTTGTGGTGGATTAAACAAATGCTGAGATTGTTTGGGTAAGGTAGAATAGGATAATTGCAGATGATATGTAAACAAAAAAAAGAGAAACATGTCATAGAAGGAGATAGTTATGGAGAGAGGATTCAGCCGGTGGAACCAAGGATGCTAGCGGAGGAGGAAGTATTTTGATGGAGTGGAGTATATGGACGGTCAATACACAAAGTATTAAGATTCTTGTCTATGAAATTGTAATACTCCACAGTACCCCTTACAGTACTGTAGAGTGTAATAAGAATTAAACATATCATTTTCATTAATAAACATCTCACCTTTTATTTCATTTCAGGTCTATATAAAAGGATCATATATACATTATCTAATACAACACAGGAAGCATCTAATAATTCCGTCATTTTATGAAGGACCTAGTACAGAGCCACTAAGGAAATCCAAACAAATACAAAATAACACAACATTAAAATTGTTTACTAACCTCAAGAGTAGACTTCTAAATTTAAAATAAACATTAACATACAACTTAAATACTTGTATATCAAACTTCCTCCACTTTTTCCTTCTCTTTTCCTGTAAAAATAGTCAGTAAGAAAATGCTGGTGAGCTATGAGGCTCAACAAGTTATGCAGAATTAATTAACGATTAAAATAGCATAACATGAATAATTACAATATTGAGATCATTACTGAAAAAAAAAATATTAAAAGTTAGAGTTAACATTATGCTTCAATGATTTTGGATTTTTGTTGAATATAAATTTTCTGTGAAAGATTTGGCTATTAATGTAAAATTTATGAAAGATAAAGACATCATATACAGTCAAATTTTACATTAGTTAAGTATTCAACATTCTTTCATAATCACATATCATATATGCCTTCATCATCATTTATGATATATATATCTTGTGTAAGATTAAAATGCATAAATTTTCAAGAAATATTTATATCTTTCCAAAACCTTCTTAAATTGAAAAGCTTTTAAATAACCTTACAAAACATTATCTTGAACTTATGTAATAGCAAAGGTATAAGCAGTAGGTCATATTCAAAATATTGGAGAAAAAACTTTCAAAAGCAATTTAAATGATTCATAACACAAGTTTTTTTTAAACATTAATTTTGCATTTCTTACCTCATTGCTGATTCGTCTTTTTAACTCCACCTCATACTCTTCTTCGATTGCAAGTAACCTCGTAACTTCTACTTTGCATAGTCCAAAGAATCATTCTCTTCTACCACTTATTGTACTTCAACTCTTACTTTCCAAAATACCACACCAAAACCATTGTTCCTTCAAATTACTTCAATCTACAATTTCATCATAAAATTCTAAATTAATCACATAAAAATCTTGGTTACTGATCTCTAATAAGTTCATTAAAAATCTGATCATTTCACTTACATGCATTTGTTTTCCTTCCTTCAATGTTACAATAGAATTTCCTTTACAATGCAATGTTCATAAATCTAGAAGTCTACGGAACCAAAGCCGCTGCTTGCAACAGGAGACTTGCGATCCTTGCTACAGGAATTCTCTCCGCCTATTGCTACAGGAAAACTGCGAATTCCTTGACCATTCCACGGATTTCTTTACACTCCCGGAATCACCTAAAGCTGAATTGTGAACAGGGAAGTCTGCGAATTTTATATGCCATGACAACAACGGCTTGTATGCAATCCAAACTCAGATAAGGATAGGAATGTGAGCCCTCAATCTATAACTACTCTCTCTCTAATAATCCAAAAGCAGCATCCCTTCAGAAATTCCTATTTCCAATCAGTTTCCATTAACGTGAAAGCCAACCCATGCCTTTTTGGATGCCTGACTGGAAACAGGATTATTATTTAATTTATATATTAGATTAAGATATTTGACTACAGAATAATTAACAGTAATTAAATATTAATATTTATTTAACAGTAATTTATAATTAACTTTAAAATAAGTTTTACAATATCTTTAAGTAATGTAACACGCCTGATTGGGTCTTACAGAAATTCATAAAGGCGCTGATTTGAAAGGATGAGGTAATGGAAGCAAATTGAACATCGGCTTGTTATAGAGATTTTTGTATTTCGAAGAATTGTAATTATTGATTTATTTGCATTGTGATCGTCTCCTTTCCATTATAGAGATTTTTTGTCCTAGAACTATATAAAAAGAAGATTATCACATGCACATACCAGAAACACAAAAATATGGATAAACATACCTGATCAACTTCTTCAACATTTCATGTGATAAAATATTCGTAAAAAGTTTATTCAGAATCTCAGGGCACATTCAACGCACATACAAAAGAGACAAGGTAATAAGAAAGACGAAAACACACACATAACATTCCACATGGCATTCATGATTAACTATTCTGCAAAGCAATCATTACATGATGAAAATTATTCCCACGCATATCCCTGATTCCCAGGATTTATCAGCTCTTCTAGAAGGGAAGATACGATTCATGATGGAACAAATATACAAGAATACTTAAATAAATCGGCATTATAAAAAGTTGAATAAACCATGAATACAATCTTTCACATTAGCCAATTTACTAAAGAATGGCATTATTGTTTGATATACCTAAATATATCTTCTATTTGTCTCTAGATTCATAGACAAAATGGCATTATTGTTTTTAATTATTAGCAGACATGCTAACACTTCAAATAAAAGTCTGTTAGACAGGTAAACTGGACCGGTCCAGCCGGTCTAAGCGGGACCGGTTACATGTGAAACAGCGACACTATTCCTCCTCTGGCGGATGCCGCGCAAGCCGCGATCCCATGGGAGCATTTTAAGAAGGAATTTTGAGGAAGATTAGGAGTGAAATTGAATGTTGAGACTGTTTAGGGATTTCGTTTTGATTTGTATGCATTAAATACTTTATTTTCCTAGGGTTAGGGCATCTTGAATTTGGCTGAAATTTGAGATCTCTTAGAATTAGGTTTTTCTTTGGGCTCTAACGGCGTCTAGAGATTTGGGAGAGATCGATCCTCCTCTCGAATTGAGGATCAATTGTATCTTGCTATTTTCTGTTTTCCTTTTATCAAATAATACAAATTATCTACTGTTTTTGTGGTTTTGTGCGGACTATTGTGGAGAAAGCTCGCTGTTTTTCGAAGATTGATAGGAAATACTTGAGATCTACAAGTGTTTCCTATCAAATTGGTATCAGAGCAAGTCTTGAGACCTTTCGTTGGTTGATTTTGGCGAAGTTCGGCGCCCAATTTTTGGTCGAGAAGGGACGAAGTGTTGTTTTTTTAATTCAAATCCCGAATTTTTGGATTTACAAAAGTTCGGATCGAGATAGAGGCCATGAAAATTGATGGGCTAGAAGAAAGGCTTGAAGGGGAGATGAACCAAATCAAGACAACGGTGGAGGAAAGGATTTCCTCCATAGAAGGACAAGTAGCTGATCTCCGGGACATGGTGAAGAAAATGTTGGAAATTCACAACCAAACGGCAGCTTCCGTGGCAAAAGAGGAGAAAAGAAAAAACACGAATTCTGAAATTCATAGGGAGGAAGATGAGGTGGAAATCGTGGAGGGAGAAAGAAGGAAACCCGATTTGGAGCCTTTTTAGAGGGAGGATAGAGGAGGTAGGTATGAGGAAAAGCATGGGTATGGAGGGACGGAGCAAAAGGGTGCTGATTGGGAATGCCGAGAGGGACATTATGGTTGTTGAGGTGCTGATTTTGAAGGAAGAAGAGGAGAATTTGAAGGGAGTTTGAGCTATGACAGGGCAAGGGAAAACCGGGAGATGTGGGGTGGGCCGAGCACTTGGGAGAGGGGAAGCTATGGAGGAATAAGGGGGAATGGTGGAGATCAGAAGGTGAGGAAGTTGAAGATGCCTATCTTCGAAGGGGAGGATGCATATGGGTGGATCTATAAGGTGGAGAGGTACTTTGCCGTTAATGGGCTAACAGAGGAGGAGAAGTTGACAGCAGCAGGCCTATGTTTGGAGGGGAAGGCACTGTTATGGTATCAGTGGAGAAACCAGAGGAGACCTATCAGGGACTGGAGGGAATTCAAGGACTGCATAATAGAACGTTTCCAAACCGATCAGGGAGGAGATTTCTATGATCAGTTCTTTGCTCTGGCACAGGAGGGATCAGTAGCAGACCACCAATAGCACTTTGAGCACCTAGCCAATAGGGTGCAGCGATTATCAGATACGGTATTGGAGGGGAACTTCATGAAGGGGTTGAAGGCAGAGATCCGAGCGGCAGTGAAAGTTCTGATGCCTAGTGACTTGGGGGAGGCAATAAAGTTAGCACAACTAGTGGAAAATCAGAAGAATCTGGAGAAGGGGGCCAGGAACAACGGCTCAGGAGGCTCTTATAGGACAACGACCACTCTTCTAGCACCCAAGGGGCCTGCATCAGGCAGCATTAATGAGACTACCAGGGAGAAGCCAGTAGGAGGGAGTGGGGAAAATTTTAAAAGGCTAACAGAGAAGGAGATGCAGGAGAAGATGGCAAAGGGATTTTGTTTCAGGTGCGAGGATAAGTATACGCCAGGACATCAGTGCAAGTACCAAACTCTTCAGGTTCTCACCGTCTGTGATGACGAGGAAACTGATGAGGGAGGTGAGGGGGAGTCGGTGAAAAAGATAGAAGAGAAGTTGCATTTAGATCTGGCTGAGGTTTCCCTAAACTCAATGATAGGATTCACTATGAATCAAACCATGAAGGTGAAGGGCGAGATAGAGGGAAGGATGGTGGTGGTGCTAATTTATAGTGTGGCTACCCATAATTTCATTTCCACTCAGGACGTCGACCAATTGGGAGTGAAATTGGTGGACACCGGTTGTTATGGGGTGATGATGGGTACAGAGGAGGTGGAGAAAGGTCAGAGGATCTGTAGAGAAGTGGTGTTGACCATCTAGGGGATTCAAGTAAGGGATGACTTTCTCCCACTAGAGTTAGGAAGTACTGATGTCATCTAGGAGATGAAGTGGTTGCAAACCTTGGGGGAAACCGAGAACAATTGGGGAGCACTCATGATGGAATTAATGGTGGATGGGAGAAAGGTGGTTATAAGGGGAAATGCGGGACTATCTAAAGCCATGACATCACTTAAGACCATGGTTAGGGATATACAAGAGGTGGGGGAAGAATATCTAGTGGGACTACACAAGCTGGATGGGATCAGGATGAAGGAGGGAGGGGATGTTTCTCTTTCAGTGTAGCCCTTGACTCAGCAATTTGGTAAAGATTTTGAACCACCTCAAGGATGGTCACCTCCACGGCAACATGAGCATATTTCCACCTTGAGGAAAAGGTGGATCTTTGGGAGGGGAGTATTGTTAGACCGGTCCACTGGATCGGTTTACGGGTGAAACCACGACGCTATTCCGCCTCTGGCGGATGTCGCGCGAGCCGCGATCCCACGAGAGCATTTTAGGAAGGAATTTTGAGGAAGATTAGGAGGGAAATTGAATGTTGAGACTGTTTAGGGATTTTCTTTTGATTTGTATGCATTAAATACTTTATTTTCCTAGGGTTAGGGCATCTTGAATTTGGCTGAAATTTGAGATCTCTTAGAATTAGGTTTTTCTTTGGGCTCTAGCGGCGTCTAGAGATTTGGGAGAGATCGATCCTCCTCTCGAATTGAGGATCAATTGTATCTAGCTATTTTCTATTTTCCTTTCATCAAATAATACAAATTATCTACTGTTTTTGTGGTTTTGTGCGGACAATTGTGGAGAAAACTAGCTGTTTTCCGAAGATTGATAGGAAATACTTGAGATCTACAAGTGTTTCCTATCAAAGTCCTAGAAGCAACTATAAAAGCAAAAGCATAACGCCCAAAAATAAGCTTTTAAAGCTACGCCTCAATGCATAATCAGTGGAAAACGTGTCCACTCCACTGAATAACCTTAAAGAACAACATTAAAGAGAATTAGTTTCGCCATAATTGGCACAATGAATCTGAGGAGCATTGAATTTCACATACCAGTTTTCAATATGCACAATACTGATCGGTGCAGCGAATTGCTTGTGCCAAATAACAACAGTAGTACCACCTCATTTCCTGCAACTTCATAAGTATAAACCAAGTAGCACACAAGAATATGAGCTCACTATTAATGGAAAGGAGACGATCACAACATATTAAAAAGAAAGCAGATACTTCTTTAGAACAGAATCAATTCATTAAGCTGACCAGAAAACTGAAATAGTTAGCATCCATGGTAGTGCCTTACAGATGTCAATCAATGGTTGATAATCCTTGGTCAATTAATCATCATAACAGATCTCCTTAACAAAACTACTAGTGGTGGGCAGGCATCATGTCATTCATTATTGATCTTTGATCTTTCTTCTTGTGTTAACTCAATTCAACCAGAAGAAAAACTAGGTGCATCTACTCAATTGACTCGGGAAAGATGAGTTTATGTCAAATACCGTCCTAGCCATCCTAGCTGTCAATTGCCTCTTCATCCTATGGCAAGCATGGGGATCTTTGGGATGCTCACCTGGATCATGTCAATCTCCTTTCATATTCGGGAGGCTGATTTATGAAGGATTATATTAGTACAATTATGCATTATTTTGTAATTATTTGTTTCCTTATTAAGACATCTTGTATAGATTTATAAATGGTGCAATAAAGGTAAAGCCTTTTTCCCTCTTCAAATCTTTAAATTTAACATGGTACTAGAGCCTAAGGATACATAATTCGCTTTCCCTGTTGTCCCACCGCCGGCCTTTATTACCGAAATTCTGAGGGTTACTGTTCCAGGCTGCCTTGTTGCTATCCATATTCAGTCCTTTTGCTTCCTTCGTGCATCCAAGACTGAGAGAGAGACTCCCTGCATGGGTCAAAAGGCAGAAACAAACAAACCTGGGAGTTCCTTTCTGCTTTCGTGTGTCCAAGACTGAAAGGGAGATAGAGCAGCGTTCTCGTGAGGATCTAGGGCCAGGACGAGCAAGAGTGTGAGACCTACACTCCTTTCTGCGGTTCGATCAGAGGGATCAAAAGCCTTGTGTGCTCCTATACTATTCTGATCAAATAGGAGTCTATTCAGGCATGAACTAGGACCAAACCGAAAAAAAGGATACTTGGTTGCTGAGTGCTTTTTTTACGTCTAGGCGGAATCGAACGGCTTGGGAAGGAGGAGATTTGCATGCCAACGACTGAGCCGTTTGAGACGTATTTTTCTACTGTTGTCCCTGAAACTTGCCGCAAATAGAAATTTTTTTCTTTCTATTATCATGCCTTCATTGACAGCCTTCCCTTGTTGTTGTTATCCCATCTATAACCGACGCAACCTTCATTGTTTCCCTACTTAATATAGCCTTCATCGCTACTTTTTGTCGTTGTAATGTCTGAAGCTAATTCCTTCCAAAGCTTTTGACCAAATGTAGGACTCTATGGTGCACCAAGGAAAAGAAAACCTCCCAAATATTTCCTATCGCTTAAATAGGAAGAATTATTTAAAATGATCTCAATTTGTAAAAACCTACTTGAAAGGGAAAGGAAGGATGAATCGCCTCCTTTGGGTAAGACCAAAAGAAGGGGATCCTAACTTTTGAGCATGGGATGAAACGGACTCCATGGTTATGTTATGATTGTGGAATTCCATGACTCCATAAATTAGTAATACTCTCATGTTCTTGTCCATTGCAAAGGACATATAGGATGCCGCCAAGCAAACCTTATCAAAAGCTCAAGATGCTGCTCAAATTTTTTAAATAAAGGTCAAGGTGCGAAGCAAAAATCAAGGAAACAAGATCATAACTGAATATGTCATTCACCTTCAAGGCTTATGATAAGAACTTGATCACTACATATGCATGGAAATCAAGTATCCAGAAGATGTTGTTATCCTGAAAAACTTTATTAAGAAAGATAGAGTATGACTTTCTTGTAGGATTAAATGCGGAGTTTGACCAAATTAGAGTTTAGATCATTGGAAAAGAGGAGACACCTTCACTAAATAAGACTATTTCTTTGATTCGTGTTGAGGAAAACCACTAAGGGGTGATGCTAGAACCAAAGGCTGTTGAAGGTTTAATAACGATGCCAACTAAAGAGGCACCATGGAAGGAAAGAGGTAAGGATTCCTCAAAACACAAAGACAAAAAAACTCCCTTTTGTGCAAAAAATCAATACACACAAAGGAGACCTACTGAAAGTTACATGAAAAGCCCCCAAGGAGTGAAATCAAAGAAGTAGATAACTAACACTACAATAAGTCAGCCCAACCCAGAAACAGTCCAACTTCAGAGAGCTCAACAAAGAAGATATTAATAACCTAAAATAACTATTGGTATCCCTTGAAAAACCATCTGCATTTTCGTCTCTTGCACTTTTAGGTAATTTTCATATATCCATCAGATTAAGTGTCTCTAGAAAGCATCTGAAAGGTTTATGGATCATTGACACAAGTGCCACAGATCATATGACACACTCCATTACCCACTTCATCAATTACACTCCTTGCCGAAGCGATAAGAAAATCATCACTATTGATGGTTTTCTTGCCATAGTAGTAGGCCAAGAGACATACCCTTCTTTCCCTCCCTCACTCTCAAAAATGTGTTTCACGTACCTCAATTATTCACAAGCTTAATCTCCATTCAAAAACTTACTAGTGACCATAATTATCAAGTCTTATTTAAACCTATATATCGTTTATTTCAGAACCAAAGATCAAGGAAGAAGATTAAACTTGTTAAGAAAAAAGTTAGACTGTACTACCGAGAAGAGCTAAACATATCCACTATTATCGAAAATAGCTATTCTATGTTATCCCTCTCTAATAAAAAATTAACTATTTGGCTTCATCATTTTAGATTTGAACATCTATCTTTTGATGTCTTAAAAATATAAATCCAAAATTTTTTTATGAGTTGAAAAACAAATCATTTCATTGTAAAACATGTTAGCCAAGAAAAAATGAGTCTTTTTCTCAAATAAAAAATGAGAAATGTCATACTATTTTCTACCTTATTCATATGGGGACCCCCTCAAATATTCCCAATATTTCAAGGTCCCTATAGTTTGCATCCTTCATTAACGACTGCACTAGAGTCTCTTGGATCTCTCCTCAAAAATAAATTTGGTGTTAGCACTATTCTCTCCATTTTTCACACTATGATCTAGAACCAATTTAAGGTAAAAATAAGGATGTTTCGTTCCAACAAGGCCAAAGATTACTTTAACCAAACCCTATCCTCTTACTTTCAAAAAGAATGTATCATTCATAAGTCTTCCTGCATTCACACCCCACAACAAAATGGAATTATAGATAGAAAAAATGGCTACCTTCTTACCATAACCCATGCACTTCTATTCCACCACAATGTACCAAAATCCTACTAGAGGAAAGCCTTTTTGACTACCATATATCTCATAAACCAACTACTTTAAAAAACATTAGGACTAAAAACACTAATTGATATTTTGTCCTCTTTTATCCTAAAGTTTGAACTCATAACAACCTCACACCCAGAATCTTTGGGTGCACTGTCTATGTTCACATTAATAACCAAAATAGAGGAAAATTAGATCTAAGAGCACACAAATATATTTTTGTTGGATATTCATCCACCGAGAAATATTATAAGTATTATCACCCCTCTACCAAAAAAAACTCTTGTATCCGTTGACGTTACTTTTGACAAACAAAAATCCTATGTTACCAAGCCTCATCTTTAGGGGGTGACTAAAACTAAGGAAGATGATAAAAATAAGTTTACCCCCTTGACCTTCCTACTCCACCTCAAACCGATCCACCTAAATCTGAAACGTACTAAAGCCAAGGAAATTGAGGACAAAGCTATTAGGGATAACATAAGGTTTGTAAAGGTACATTCCAGACATACAAATCCAAACTATGCTCCAGAATAGATCCAAGAATCTCAACCGTCTCCTGAAATTGAGGTAAATACAAGATCACCTAAAAAATCTCTCGTGTATCCCATAACCAACTTTGTATCCTTCTATAATTTCTCACATTCAAACAAAAATTTTCTGGTTACACTTAATGATATTTATATTCTTAATAATATTTCTGAGGCTTTATATGATGAGAATTGGAAAAGTGATATGAAAAATAAAATGCAACCCTAGAGAAGAACAATACATGGGAGATCATTGACCTATCAGAAGGAAAAAGATCAATCAGATATAAATGAGCATTCTCTATGAAATACAAAGTCGATGGTATGCTGAAAAGAGATAAGGCGAGACTAGTAGAGAAAGGGTACAGTCAGACATACAACATTGATTACCAGGAAACTTTTATACATATGACCAAGATGAACACTTTTAGAATCATGCTCTCCCAAATAGCTAATTATAACTGGCATCTAGAATAATTGGATAACATAAATGCATTCCTACACATAAAATTGGAGGAAAATATTTATGGAGATTCCATAAATATTCAAAAAAAATTATAGGGGTGTTAAAGTGTGTAGGTAAAAAAAAAGCTCTATATTGGCTAAAGCGATTACCTAGAGCTTAGTTTGGAAGATTCTCAAATGTTATACCATTCAATGGATATCGGTAGAGCCAGGGGGACTACATGTTATTCTTCAAGCACTTAGACTCAGGAAGAGTCACAATTTTGATAGTTTTATGTGGATGATATCATCTTGACTGAGAATGATAAAAAAGAAAAAGTGATGCTAAGGAAATGTCTTGCCAAGGAATTTGAGATCAAAGAACTTGATAAATTGAAATATATCCTAAAAATTGAAGTTGCCCGCTCTAGCAGAAGAATCTTTATTTCATAATAGAAATACATTACTAATATTCTTAAAGAAATATGTTAACTAGCTTGTAAACCGACACCAACATCAATAGAACCAAATCTCAAATTGGGGGAAGCAAAAGATGATCCAAACATAGATAAGGGAGCTTTCCATGGACTTGTAGGGAAATTGATTTACCTTTCCCACACCAGACCAGATATAATCTTTGTTGTAAGCATGGTCAGCCAGTTTATATAGAATCCAAAGCAAACTCATATGCAAGCAGTAGATAGAATATGCACTACCTCAAGGGAAATTCAAGAAAGGGGATTCTCTTCATAAGAGAAGTGAAATAACCCCAAAAGCTTATATTGATACAAATTATGCATAATCATTAATAGATAAATGATCTACCTCAGGATATTGTATAATCCTTGGAGAAAACCGAGTTACATGGAGAAGCAAGAAACGGAATGTGATGGTAAGGTCTAGTGCAGGGCAGAGTTCAAAGCTATAGCCTTAGGTATATATGAGCTACTGTGGATTAAGATGATTTTAGAAAACCTAAGGATTAAGTGGGAAGGACCCATGAAGCTACACTGTGACAATAAATCAACAATCAATAGAGCTCATAATCCATTTCAGCATGACAGGACCAAGCACATAGAAGTTGACAGAAATTTCATAAAAGAAAAATTGGACAGTAAACTTATTTATATTTATAATGTCTCGTCAAAAGATAAGCTACCAGATATTCTTACCAAGGAACTTGATAACTTTTCCTTTTTGGGATTGATTATCAAGCTGAGAATGACAGATTTGTATTCCCCATCTTGAGGAGTGTCAAATATCGTCCCAGCCATCCCATTCACTCCTTCCCTCTTGATCCTATGGCCAATATGAGGATCCATGGGTGGTTCACCTGGATCACGCCAATCTCCTTCTTCCATATTTGGTGGCTTATTTAGGAAGGATTATATTAGTGCAATTATGCAATATTTTATAATTATTTATTTTCTTATTAAGATATCTTGTATAGATGTATAAATAGGGATAGTTTGTGCATAAAGGTGAAGCCATTTTCCCTCCCCAATTCTCCGAATTTAACAGTTTACTTGCCATTTAATAAAATATAAATTCATTGCATAGCTTGCACCAGTTATCACTAGAATAAATAATGCTCGAGTGTGCTAGTAGATTAGGTAAATTAGCAACACCTTATTTAATGCACGTGTACGACATCTAATGAAAACTAGGTCATAAGCATGCATAAATTTACCAAAAGTTCTATTAGTATTCGAGCATGATTGATCTATTGTTCTATTAGTATTCTAAAATGATCAATCCATTAAACTCACAAGACAAAAAAAGTAGTTGAAATGCATAGTGTACCTTATGGATGGCTCTCACATGGTTAGCCTTTAGCCTATTGGACATGATGACCAATGACCTTATCAAGCTATTTGTGGCAGATTGGCTTCATGGCAATCATTCATCTTTGTTCTTGTGTCTAGGGCCAAAAATTTATTAAATACAATTAGCAAAGATATTCTAAATGCATTTATTCAAAATGACTTCAGCAGAGTGCAGGTTGCTTACCACAAGAAATATAACCTTACTCAGCAAAGAATCACACAGACCAGACCAGCCTTGTTGGCCTCATAGCTAAATATAGAACATCTCTCAACAAAACACCAAGACAATTGAATTTTTTTTTTCTTCTCTTTGTGGCCTTTCTTATTGGTGTTTATTTATGGAAAAAATTTGGCCGGTATGTCTTCGTATGCAGAGAGGGAGGGGCACAAACAATTAATCATTTGCCCTATTCCAATTTTCTTGGTTATAGGCACGATGAAGGCTTCAAAAGAATAGAGAGCAAATGTTTGATATAGTGACGCTGGAAGTTTGTGTATGATGACCTGCAAAATGCCAAAAAACCATAGAAACGCTTACGCTGCAAAAAGGATAACAAACACAACCTTTAAATTATCTGTGGACAAGAAGAAAAACAGCAGAGGAAAGGAAATAGCTATAACATCTTAGCAATACGTCGAGTAAACAGGATGTGCTCATGAGGTGGCAGACGGCTATAAAGAAAAATACTATTGCTGCTCCTGGCTATGAAAGAAATACTAGTACCGGCCCCATGCCCACAGCCCAATATTGAACCAAGTGAAGGACTTCATCCAGCTACCTTGACATATTCATGTCAGAGAGTGTCATAGAGAAGGCTTGCACAAAATTGAAGATAATTACAATTATGTATATGGATGGTGAAACTAGACAACCAGATCTTCCAATTCCAAGAAGATGGATTAAGTTTTCTTTTGCTGAACCCATAAGCCTACACTTTGCATAATTAATTTTGATAATAATAAACATGCAAAGAAATTATTTGTATGGTTTGTTAAATGTTGTGTAAATATTTAGAAAAAGCCATTTTGACCTAAATGAAACACTTAGCTTTAAAATATTTCATTTTGCTCTTCACATGTAAGAAACACATGACGAGGCATCGAAGAATACAAAGAGCAAAAAAATATATATTTAAGTTATACTAAAACAAAAAATGACATTTTTCATATATTATGATATATTATTTCTTTCAAAATATGCTAAAGTATCATTTGGAATACTAACTAAATAGATTTTGCAAAAACAATTATAGAAAGAAATAAGAAAAGTCAACTATGAAATTTGATTGTACTTATAGGTCTTTACAAACTTAACAAGTTCTTGTAAACTCATGGTCCCACTACGTAAAGTGTTTGAGATACCTTTATTATTAGTGGGTCTTTACAAAGGTTAACCGGTCTCCGTAAAATCCTTTATGGGCCTTCACAAAGTATTTGAGCACCTAAAAACCTATAAATGAAAATTTTTAATTAAATGTAATCAATCCATCTAATTGTAGACTTTTATAAAAAAATGACTTTATTCTACAGGATAAATTCGTGGTAATATAGTATATTTCAAACTATTAACTAATTTACTTCGCTAATACCAAATTATGATATATGCCTATGTATATGTATATTAAATGTAAACTCGAATTAATCAAGCACATTGAAAACCTAACCTTAGCCACCAAGAACAACTCTAACTCCCTATTGCAAAATATTTTTAACCATTGGAGATTCTTTTTTGAAAGAGGAAAGATGGCTAGCAATCGCCATTTTTTTTTTTTTTTTGAAAGAGGAAACAATAAAAAAAAAAAAATGGCTAGCAATCGCCATTCAACTTTGATGTCTAGATCTAGATCCTTGATTCTTCCATAACTAATGATTCATGTCTAAGATTGTTTTGTATTTGTACTTCTTCTGTACTGGTCATGTATTTTGGCAAAGTTATTCATGTGGAAAGACTAAGAGATAATACCTTTACCCACACCTAAGATAAATAGTACAATTCCCCTTAATAGAAAAGATTGTAGAGATTTCACCTCCATAGAGAAAAGGATTTTTTATGGGGATTGCGGTAATTCTAGATGGCATTGCACCTCAGCATGGAAATAGACTCATTAAGCCGAATAACATAAAAGCATCGTGATATGGCGGTTCCAAAGGAACCGCCTCTTAAGGAGGTTCAGAAAGAACCGCCTCAGCCGGCCTCACCTGGGCTAGTACAATTCCCCTTAATAGAAAAGATTGTAGAGATTTCACCTCCATAGAGAAAAGGATTTTTTATGGGGATTGCGGTAATTCTAGATGGCATTGCACCTCAGCATGGAAATAGACTCATTAAGCCGAATAACATAAAAGCATCGTGATATGGCGGTTCAGAAAGAACCGCCTCAGCCGGCCCACCTGGGCTGGCAATTTGCTACAGGAGGCGGTTCAAAACCACCTCCCTCCTACCTATTTAAGCTTGCCGCCTATATGTGGGGCCCCATCGATTTAAATTTATTTGAATATTATTTTTTTTTTAGGAAAGGGGTGGGCGGTAGAGAGCTTATAAATAGAAGAGGTAGGGGGAAGGGAGAGGCATGCTTAGATTTGAGTTTCTCTTGGAATCTCTTGGAGTTTGAGGGCTCTAGACTTGCGTCTAGAGATTGGGAGAGAACGATCCTCCTCTCGAATAGAGGATCACTTGTATCTTGCTTTATTGCTGGTTTGTTTGTTTCGTTATTGCAATTTTATTATTTTGGAGCTGATTATGCCCAGATTTTTTGCTCTATATCTTCGATGTTTTCTCTCCAATTAGTGATAGGTTTGCTTGCGAACTCAAGTATTCCCTTAGGGTTCCTTGCGAACTCAAGTATTTCCTATTAAATTAGTATCATAGTAAGTCTTGGGACCGGTGGAGGGCTGATTTCAATGGATTCCAGCAGCAGTTTTTCGCTCCAAATCGGAAGAAGTTGCTGTTTTTCTTTTCCAAATCCTGCTTTTATAAATCTACAAACTCCGGATTGTGATGGCGGCCAAAAAGTGGATGCCTTGGAGGAAAGACTTGAAGGGGAGATAAATCAAATCAAAACGACGATGGAGGAAAGGATCTCTTCAATGGAAGGACAAGTCGCCGATCTTCGAGAGATGATGAAAAAAATGCTGGAAATTCAAAACAGAATGGCGGCTTCAGTGGAAAAAGGGAAGGAGGGTAAAGGTACGAATTCAAATTCGTAGGGAGGAAGATGAGGCGGAAATCATGGAAGGAGAAGGAAGAAGACCTCATCTGGAGTCTGTCCAGAAGGAAGAAAGAGGAGGCGGATACGAGGAAAGCCAGGAGGGGTACTATGGCTGCCGAGGCGCTGATTTTGAAGAAAGAAGGGGAGATTTCGAAGGGGGTTTGGGCTATGGCAGGGCAAGAGAAGACCGGGAAACTTGGGGGGCACCTAGCACTTGAGAGAGAAGAAACTATGGAAGAATCCGGGGCAATGAGGGGATCAAAAGGTGAGGAAGGTGAAGATGCCCATATTTGAAGGAGAAGATGTGTATGAGTGGATTTACAAGGTGGAGCGATCCTTTGCCGTCAATGGGCTGATGGAGGAGGAGAAGCTAACTGCAGCCGGATTGTGCTTAGAAGGGAAAGTCCTGTCGTGGTTTCAGTGGAGAGACCATAGGAGGTCGATCAGGAACTAGAGGGAATTTAAAGACTGCATAAAAGATTTTTTTCAAACAGATCGGGGAGGAGACTTCTACAAGCAGTTCTTTGCTCTAACACAGGAGAGATCAATAGCAGATTACTGGGAGCAGTTTGAGCACCTAGCTAGCAGGGTGGAGCGACTCTCAGATACAGTATTGGAGGAAAATTTCATGAAAGAGTTGAAGGCGGAGATCCGAGCAGCAGCAACGATTAAAAAAGCGGTTGAGGAATCCGAACAGAGGCGCGACTCAATTCGAGGCGCTAACCCGACGCCTTGAGGCTTAAGCCTCAATGTATTTGACGAGGCGTGCATTTTTTTCAACGAGGCATACGCGTCGAGGCGTAACGCCTCGAGGCAGCGTGAGGCGACGCCTCATTAGGATTCGACGAAGCTCACAGCGAAGAACAAATTCCTTATCTTTCGAGTGCGCTTCTTCCGCTTCGTCCCTTTTGAGAGCTGCTTCGTGTTCGACCACAACTGAGTTCTTCGATCGGGCAGGAGTGCTCGGGAACGACCTTTCTTCCTGTTCGACCACTGTTTTGAGTTCATCACGCTTCGTGTGAAGTCGGAGCTCGAACCAAAGGTAACACTACCTGTTCGACCACTTTTTAAACTTTACCTGCTTCCTCTTTTGAATACTTTGGCTTCGACAACTGCAGGTAATGGGCTTTCTTCCTTTGCTCATGGAGTTTAAAACAACAAGAATTATTTTTATGCTTCTCTTTTAATGGCTAAAATTCAGAGTCTTAAAATCATTGCATGACTCACCACTAGGTACATGCTCGATGCGATGAAAAGTACAGACCAGGACATCGGTGCAAGGACAGAACTCTTCAGGTTCTCACCGTCTGCGATGACAATGAAACTGAAGAAGGTGAGGAGGAGATAGAGGAGGAAGAGGAGAAGCTACATTTGGATCTGGCTGAGGTTTCCCTAAACTCAGTGGTGAGATTCACTACGAATCACACCATGAAGGTAAAAGGAGATTTAGAGGACAGGGAGGTTGTGATGTTGATTGATAGTGGGGCAACCCACAATTTAATTTCCACCCAGGTCGTAGACCAACTGTGAGTGAAATTGGTGGACACTGACTGTTACGGAGTGATGATGGTACAGGGAAGATAGAGAAAGGTCAGGAGATTTGCAGAGGAGAGCGACTGACGATCCAGGGGATACAGGTGAGGGAGGACTTTCTTCCACTAGAGTTAGGGAGCACGGACGTCATACTAGGGATGAAATGACTGCAAACTTTGGGAGACACCAAAGTAAATTGGGGAGCAATCACGATGAAGTTGATGGTGGATGGAAGAAAGGTAGTAATTAAGGGAGATGAGGGGCTTTCCAAATCCCTGGTTTCTCATAAAACGATAGTGAGGGATATCCAGTTGGCAGGCGGAGGGTATTTGGTGGAGTTGCACAGTTTGGAGGGAGCGAGATTGGAGGAGGGAGGAGACATACCCCTCTCCATTCAGCCATTGATTCAGCAGTTCCAAGAGATATTTCAGCCACCTCAGGGATTGCCACCGCAGAGGGAGCAGGAGCATGTCATCGTATTGAAGGAGGGAGTGGCGCCCATCAGTGTCCGGCCTTATCGCTACCCTCAGTTCCAGAAGGATGAAATAGAAAGGTTGATTAGAGAGATGCTGGAGGCAGAGATCATCAGACCCAACACCAGTCCCTTTTCTAACCCCGTTCTATTGGTGAAAAAGAAGGATGGCAGCTGGCGTTTCTGTGTAAACTATAAAGCACTCAATAAGGAAACTGTACCTGACAAGTTACCTATACCCGTCATAGACGAGCTGCTAGATGAATTGAGTGGGACTGTGATCTTCAGCAAGATAGACTTAAAATTAGGTTACCATCAGATCAGAATGAAGAAAGAGGATGTACCCAAGACGGCTTTTAGAACTCATGAAGGATATTATGAGTTCCTGGTGATATCCTTTGGCCTCACCAATGCTCCCGCCACTTTCCAAACCCTTATGAATAAGGTTATCAAACCTTATCTCAGAAGATTTGTACTGGTATTCTTCGACGACATCCTGGTCTACAGCAGGATAGAGGAAGAGCACTGGGAGCATTTGAAAAGGGTGTTAGAAGTACTGCAGGAGCACCAGCTGAGGGCTAATTTGAAGAAATGCTATTTTGCATAAGTCAGTGTGGAGTACTTAGGCCATGTGGTATCAAAAGGAGTGGCGGCAGATCAGTTCAAAATTGAAGCAATGCTAAAGTGGTCAGTGCCGAAAAATCTGAAGTTAAGGGGATTCCTAGGACTAACAGGCTACTACATAAGGTTCGTTAAGGGGTACAACTCCATAGCATGACCACTCACTGAACAGTTGAAGAAGGAAGGATTCCTATGGGGGGAGGTGGCCACATCAGCATTTGAGAGCTTGAAAAAAGCGATGACTATGGTACCGGTCCTAGCCTTGTTAGATTTCACTCAGAGCTTCATTGTGGAGACAGATGCTTCTTGGTATGGGCTAGGTGCAATACTAATGTAGAGTCGTAAACCCATTGCTTATTTCAGCCAGGTATTGACGACTAGAGCTCGGCTGAAATCAGTTTACAAGAGAGAATTAAGGTACATCGTTTTGGCCATCCAGAAATGATGACCCTACCTGCTTGGGAGGCATTTCATTGTTAGGACAGATCATCGAAGCCTGAAATACCTGCTAGAATAGAGGATGGTGATGAAAGAACATCAAAGGTGGTTGTCCAAGCTGCTAGAGTATGATTTCGAGATTCAGTACAGACCAGAGGTGGAGAATAAGGCGGCAGATGCTTTGTCCAGATGTATGGGGGAGCTACAGACAATGGCATTATCTGTTCCTTTGATGCTTGACTGGGAGGCCATCAAGGAAGAAAGTACAAAAAATGAAGAATTAGGAAGGATCAGGTTGGATTTGCTCAAAGAAGATGGTAGCCATCCAGTGTACTCTTTAGAGGGAGACATACTATTGTACAAGGGAAGATTTGTGATACCTCATACCTCAATCCACATCCCAAATTTAATTCAGAAATTTCATGAAAGTGCAGTTGGGGGCCATTCAGGAGTGCATAAGCCTATAAGAGACTTGCGGACGAGCTTTATTGGAAGAAATGCATAGAGATGTAGAAGAGATGGTGGCGAGATGTGAAATCTGTCAGAGGAACAAATATTTGGCTATGTCAGCAGGGGGACTACTACAGACGTTGGCGTTACCAGGATGAGTTTGGGAGGAGATGTCCATGGATTTCATCGATGGGCTGCCCCGTTCAGAAGGTTTCACAGTGATCTTGGTGGTGGTAGATAGATTGAGCAAGTATGTTTATTTCATTCCTCTCCGACATCCTTACACCGCAGTGATAATGGCTTCAACATTCATTAGAGAGGTGGTCAGATTGCATGGGGTACCAGAGACAATCGTGTCAGATAGAGATAAGGTATTCCTTAGTCATTTCTAGAGGGAGTTATTCATATTACAAGGGACAGTTCTCAAAATGAACACAGCTTACCACCCACAGACAGACAGCCAGACGGAAGTAGTCAATAGGAGCCTGGAGACATACCTAAGATGCTTTGTGTCAGAGACACCCAAGCTATGGGTCAAGTGGCTATCGTGGACAGAATACTGGTACAACACGTCCTTTCATTCGGCTTCACAGATGACCCCATTCAAGGTGTTGTACTGACGGGATCCCCGCACACTTGGTGCACTTTGGGAGCAACAGTACCCTTGTTTCATTAGTAGAAGAGTAATTGGAGGAGAGGGGCCGAATACTAAAGGAGTTGAAGAGGCATTTACTGAGAGCTCAACAAACTATGAAGAAACAAGCTGATGGGCATAGGAAGGACATCTAATTTGAAGTAGGAGAGAGGGTGTTCTTAAATCTCCGACCGTATAGATAAAAGACAGTCGCCAACAGGAGGAACGAAAAATTAGCTCCAAGGTATTTTGGGCCTTATAAAGTGCTGGAGAAGATTGGGGCAGTAGCATATCGACTGAAATTACCACCGGCAGCAACTATACATCCAATTTTTCATGTCTCGCAATTGAGGAAGGCCATTGGTGACTACACAGCCAGTCCCGAGCTACCAGCAACACTCACTGAAGATTTAGAGGTAGTTCTGGAACCCTTAGAGCTGGAAGGGGTTCACCAAAACAAAGATGGAACTAAGGAGGTGTTGATCAAGTGGAAGAACCTCCCAGATTACGAGACCACATGGGAGCCATATGAGAGGATAACACATAAGTTCCCTTGTTTTCACCTTGAGGACAAGGTGATTCTTTGAGAGGGCGGTATTGATATGGCGGTTCCAAAGGAACCGCCTCTTAAGGCGATTCAGAAAGAACCGCCTTAGCCAGCCCCACCTGGGCCGACAATTTGCTACAGGAGACGGTTCAAAACCGCCTCCCTCCTACCTATTAAGCTTGTCGCCTATATGCGGTGCCCCATGGATTTAAATTTATTTGAATATTATTTTTTTAGGAAAGGTGTGGGCGGTGGAGAGCTTATAAATAGAAGAGGTAGGGGGAAGGGAGAGACATGCTTAGATTTGAGTTTCTCTTGGAGTCTCTTGGAGTTTGAGGGCTCTAGACCTTGTGTCTGGAGATTGAGAGAGAACAATCCTCCTCTCGAATAGAGGATCACTTGTATCTTGCTTTATTATTGGTTTGTTTGTTTTATTATTACAATTTTATTGTTTTTGGGGCTGATTACGCCTAGATTTTTGCTCTATTTACGTTGTTTTCTCTCCAATTAGTGATAGTTTTTCTTGCGAACTCAAGTATTCCCTTAGGGTTGCTTGCGAACTCAGGTATTTCCTATAACATAGTATTCTTATTTATTCTTTTTTGCTTATTTTCTTTTTTTTTTCTTGTTAAATAATCATGTAACTATTGCAACCTACTTAAAAGATATTTTTCAAGTCAAATACATTGTTAATAATACCCGGTTCACCCCTTGGGCCATCTGTAAAACAATTATCCTTGACTATCCAATCTCCAGTAAAATAATTGACATATTTTTAAAATGGAATCCCAAGCTTCAATAATCCAATCAAGTGCATGATAATTCATCCACTAGAGAAGGAGAAAACACTATAACATTAAATGATATCCTTTACTAATAAATTAGAAATTCCATGCCCTCAAAGAATGAGTAGAAATTATTAATTCTTAGGCATTTTGAAGCCATTAAGACATTATACAAATTTGAAAAGAACCATTTGCAAAAGTGTGATCTGAATTATTTGATCCTTATTGCAACCCAGTTAAAAGATATTTTAATTCAAACAACAACCAAATAAAGTGTAACTATAAATGGTTTTGAGATGGTTTGAAATGTGATCTAAACTCAATATCAATTTTTTGTTCAAACGATCTAGAATTTGTATGGATCAACTTTAAGAAGAAAGCTCTATTCTCATGTGTGTATGAGAGAGAGACTACAATTCTTTTAAGAGGACAGAATCTACTCACCCTCCATCAAAATATTTGAATGGCTGATATTGAAGATAGCCAATAGTCATTTGCAATGTAGATGTAACAACTGGGTGGGGGGGGGGGGGGGGGGGGGGGGGGGGGGGGGTTACGCGCAATGTGATCCCATATTGTTGAAATGTACCAACTAACCTTATAGAATGAAGAATGATACTAGTTCTACTCTTTATTTATTCTAAGTAAATTTGAATAAGTTATATGAAGTATTGATTCAAATGTGTTTCAGGCAGGCTATTTAAATGCTTAGATTTAAAAGCTCTAATTAGGTGTAATATTCTTGAATTAAACGGGAAATTATAACACCCAGGCAGTGATATGCATTGTCTTTTATCTTTCTTATAAAATCCTAATAAACATTCCTTCCTAACCGTCCTTCAAAACACAAGCATCCTTGGAAAGAAATGGCACCTTAATTGTGCATGTCACAAAAATGGTAAGTAATCAATCCCATGTTAACAGAAGGTTAGTAAATTAGTAAAAATGAGGAAGTGATTAAATAAGTACCTCTCAATGAAGGAACACAAAATGTTGGAGAAATGGCTTTCATGCATACCTGAGAAACCTTGTATCATGTACCAGAAAATCAACAGTTAGCCATTACCAATGAGCATGTTCTCCTCTATGTTCAAAGCCATGTCAAATTCTCCTTGACTGTAGCATGTTTTCAAAAGATGCCTCTTTGTGTTCTCATCTGGTTTTTTTCCCATTTTAAGAATCAGATTATAAACTCTGCGAATTTCCAATAAATTGGACCTCATAGAAAGTTCCCAAAGTATTCTATTATAATTACTCGAATGTGGCGCATGATTATTTGAGATCATCTCTTCTAAAAGCAGGATAGCTAGATTGCTAGGACAACAAGAAACAAGGCATTGAAGCAATTGGTCATATAAAATCTTGTTTGGAAGGAGACCTCTCTTCTGCATCCCATGAGCAAGTGATAATCCCTCAATCACCCTACCAGCCATACAAAAGCCCACTATCAATGTATTGTATGAAATTTTATCAGGAATACATCCATTGGAATTCATCTGATTAAATAAGCAGATCGCGCAATTAATATCACCAGATCTAATAAAAGCCTTCATAAGAATGGTGTAAGTCACCTGATTCGGAGCAATGCCATTATCATGCATGTAAGCAATATGCTTATAAGCATCTTCTATCCTATTAACTCTACAAAGTCCATGAATTATACCATTATAGATGTGCAGGTCCGGTAACAACCCACTATTTATAAGATCCTGCACTTTTCCTAATGCAAAATTGACCTTTTCCATTATTGACATGGAAGATAGCCTTTTACTGTGAAGAATTCGGGATGTAACTTTTCCTCTAGATTCCAATCTAAAAACAATGTATCTTGTTTTCTTGAATTTTTTGATTAGTGAGAGACTTCTGACACCCCTTTTGTGACCACAAAGTCCAGTTATCAGAGATCCATATGCAACAAGATCAGGCTCAATCTGATTCCTTATCATGAGGTCGAATATTTCCAAGGCTAATCCAACTTCCCCTTTCCTCAAGAACTGATTAACAAGCATGGTGTACAGAACGGTGTCCGGAACAAAACCATCCTCTAACATCCTATCAAGAAAATGGCAAGCATTCCTAAACATGTTTTTCTTAATCAGCCCATTTATAAGTGCACTATAAGCACGTGAACTAGGCAACAACCCTCGCTGTGTCATCTGATCGAAAAGACGACAAGCCCGAACTGCTCTTCCCATTACACAATAACCGTTAATAAGTGTGGCATACACTACCTCATCAGGATTAACCCCGGCTTTAAGCATGCCATTGAAAGTCATGTCAGCCTTCCTTATTCTTCCTTCTCTGCACAAGGACCCAATTATTGAATCATAAATAGAAACGGTAGGATCAAAGCCCTTGTGTATCATTTCATCAAGTTGTTCAAGAGCCAAGTCTACATGCCCAATCTTGCAAAGTGCGTTAATTTTAACGGAGTAAGTAGCCAGACTAGAAGGCAAATCGCTATGGTGCATAATGAGGCTGACAAGTGAGCCAACATCATCCAAACGACCCTCTTTGTATATGCACCTTATTAAGAAATTGTAAGTAGAGATTGAGGGCTCATAACCCCAACTTACCATTTTTTCCATAAAAGTACAAGCTACATCAATCTTTCCCTCTGTACAAAATACACTAACCAAAACATTAAAAATCAGATCAATAGGAAATGCATCACTTTTCATTATCTCATCAAGCAACACTTCAATTTGTCTTTGCAAGCCTTCATTGCAGGAAGAAAGATTAGAGACCCTCAACAAGTCAATCTTGCAGTCAATATTAGCAATAGCATGCAAAGTTTTCTGAACCACCATGGCCCTATGACCTCGTGGTAGATTATTGATAAGCAGGGCAAACATCACATGATCTGGAACAATACCACTGTTCAACATCTTATCAAACAACTGGTCTACCTCAACCAATCTCCTTTCCATGCAAAGTGAAGTTATCAGAGCTGTGTAACACTGTAAATTGGGGGGTATGCCAGACTCAGGCATCTCCATCAAAAGCTCCATTGCTCGGTCTACACGTCTGTTCTTGCTGTACCAGTTTATCATCAAGCAATAGGTGACAACATTCCGTTCCAAGCCTCTCTCCACCATCTGGTTGAAGAGTTTCCATGCTGAATCAACATAACCAAGCTTCAAAAACCCATGGATAATGGTATTATACGCATAGGTATCAGGCTGGCAGTAGCTTATCTCTTTCATTCTATTGAAAACCTTCAAAGCCAATTCCATCCTACCTTCCTTCTGGTACCCGTTTATGAGTGAAGTAAACAACGTGCGGTCCAGCCAAAACCCTCGAGATTCCATTTTGTTGCATACATCCTCAGCTTCTAAAACTCGATTTGCCTTGGAAAGTCCATACACTAAGCACTTATATGACCGCGGAGTGAGTTGTAAACCTAGGTTAAACATAAAATCAAACATGAAGCGCGCATGATCCACGCATCCAATGGAACACAAACCAGAGATCATGAGATTGTAGATTGATAAAGGTGGAAGAAGTCCCTCATGAGCAGCTATCGCGCAAAAGAGATTGAAAGCCTCCACATACTTCTCCTCTCCACAGCGCGCACGGAGCACAGCAACGCAAGCCCTCGCGGTCGGCAAAGATCCGATTTTGACGAGTTCGTCCAAATAAGTTTCGGCCACGACCAGCTTCCCAAGCTTGCAGTAGCACTCAATCATAGAATTCAGTACAGTGGGATCAATGGGAACTTTGTCTTTGATGCTATTGGTGAAGAGGTCATCGGCCTTGAGAAGCTGGCCGGCGACTATGAGAGAGCGGAGGAGCTGACCAAAGTCGATGGGAACACCGAGGGAGACAGCATAGTTCAAGGCAGCGACGGCTTCCGGCGAGGGAGAGGCATTGATGATGCGTTTGGTGACATTACGAGCGGCAGAGAGCAAACCGCGGCGGGCGAGAACGGCAAGAAGAGACAATCGGTAAGCTGCGAGGTCGGAATCAGTTCGGTGGAGAGAAGATGGGAAAGCGTCTGCGGCTGGAATAGCGCAGGCGTTCGTCGCAGAACGAACTGGGCTTGGAATTCTTGAAGGGTGGGAAAGGTGAAACTGGTAAAAAGATGGGAATTGGCACCTTTTCAGTTGTATCATTAGAATTTGGCGAAAGAAGAACTTATGGAAAACCACCACCACAAACCAAAGCCGATCAAGTTCCTGCTTTTGCTGAGCAATGAGGGCGGTTAGCAATGCACTATTAACAACTTGAATTTTGCTCTATTAATATTAATACAAATGCATTCAAATTAATTATTATCATTTATATTATAATGATTGTTTAGCTTAAAAAAATAATATCCACAATGAAATGCTTAGTGATTCAGCTCACTTTGAATGGATTTAGTCAATATTGATTTATTTCATGAAAAGTTTTGACTTGATAAATAGCATACATAAAGGATATTTCTCAAATGAGTCTCATTTCCTCTCTTATGAATTTGAATGCTTCTTATTTATATAAAAATTTAGGATTACATTTGAGCTTCATAACTTTTCTCAATTTATGTGGTTTGTAATATTTGTCTGATACTTTATTATTTTATGCATAGTATGAGTTATGGATTTATGACTACTTAGTTTTCACAATTCATTCATGAATATAATACTTGTGTGTTTGCAATGTTTATGCTTCATTCAAGCTTGCTTGTTCAACCATTGAAAGAAGAATGTGCTAATATGAGAGTGTCTTTTTTTATAGGAAATTTCATATGCCATCATATGATCTTGGAGCTTGCTTGTGAACTAAATGACACTCTGTGTTAGTTGATTTTCAACTGAATGGCACTGTTTGTTGAGTGTCATTGTACTCATTCTCCTCCTATGAATCTTAATGTACTTGAGTATATTAAGCCTTATGAGTTTGTGTCACCCTGGAATCTAAATTGGAAAAATTATACATATTTTTATCTTTTTTAAAATATCAACCAAAGCTCATAGAGGTAATCAAGTGGAAAACATAATTACATTAATGTTCATTGAGTATTTACATATATGATAAGTTTTAAAACAATATATACAATAATCAATAACATGTTACAAAATAATTGATAAAATCAAAGAGCTAGAAATAAAATCTAAACTATCACCCACTAATTAGTCTCACTCTATAGGCACATTACCTTTACGTGAAATTATATAAAAATCATATAATGAGTACATAACTCAACAAGTAAACAAAATCATACAATTGAAATCAATGCATGAAAAAAGAAATAATATGCTGCAAATCTTATAAGAAAATCTATGAATCAATATATACCCGGATGCCGCTAGCATCGCCTAGCCACGTTTCCAATTTTCGGCCCTACCTCACGCTGGCCTCGCTCGGACGCCGCAAGATTGCGCACGCCGTTGGTGTCGTGACTCAGGCTCGCAAGATCACGACCCTTGTCCCGTCGCCCGCATTTCGCAACGACACTCTCTCCCAATCGCCTTTGCCCCGGCCCCCTGTTGGTCTACTGGTCTCGCACCTGCTCAACATCTTTGAATTGGCATTTTGCAAACGGGCCACGGGTCGGGTCAACCCGGCAACCCGTGCAGGTTGGGTCCGAGTTAGAAATCTCGACCCATTTGTAAAATCGTGTCGGGTTTGGGTTGACCCGTTTAGACTGAGGTCAAGTCGAGTTAGGCTCAAAATCAACTCGTCGACCCGTTTTGACACCCCTAGCTAGTTTGAATGTTATTGGATAACCAGATTATGATCTTAAAGATTTTATTCAATACCATCCTTGGGATCCAGCTGAGGAAGTTTTTGTTTTAGACCTATATAAATAATGACTGAGAAAGTTTTTTACTGGAGGGTTTTGACTGGAGGTAAGCGAATGAAGTTTTTAAACCTAGCGGATTTGCAAAATTTGCAGTTCAAGTTTCCTTTCTACTTTGGTTATTGTCCCACTCAAACTCAACTCCAGACATGTATACTTCAACTATTGAAGGACCAGTAGTAGTGTAATCACCTTTTATTATTCTTTTAACATTGTAGGTTTGGTGGGTGAATATTTTGTAATGTTGGTTATTCTAGCGCTGTGCTTTTTTTGTTAGTTGTTTATTAATTATACTACACCTTCGTTTATGAATGAATTAGTATTTATTATTTTTTAAAACTAAGCATGGTTTTGCATAACATTTCAATGTAAATTGAGTAAATTAAATTAATAAAAGTAATAGATTTAGTCAATCATAAAAAGATAGAAAAAGCTACAAAAAAATAACATATAGAGTCAATGGTAACTAAGATAACATCATGCATATACATATATGTATTGCAATATGATAGACCAAGTCATTTAAATTGTACCTCGCATAGCTACAGCAATGACTTCTATGAACAAATCCAAAGAAATATAGGACTCGTCCCAACTCCTAAAAGCTATCTTAATAGCCTTTCGATGTGCATCGCATGCTTTCACGTATAAAACATTTACGTTAAACTTTGCTTCGACTCTTCCAATTATCTCTTTGGGTTTTATATATATCTGCTTCCTTATGGTTGGAATAACGAAAAAGCTAATCAACTATGAGTTACATTGCCTATGGTCAGCTTGTAGAATAAGATTTGTACATTAATGATAAATATTTTCCAAACACCACCCAATTACTGGCTTAGGCTTACATGTAAATGCCAATGACACTTAGTAGTCAAATTATCATGTTGTATACATGCAACTGTAAATTTCTATTTATTCAAAGCAACCACCACAAATTAAACATTATTTATGATGGGCCATCCTTATAAGACGAATTGTAGTTTTGATTTACAATGAAAGAAGACATGTTTAACCAATTCATTTGGAATTACAAATTCCTCATTTGTCATACCACTACAGGAAAACAGCTCATTTCCGACAGAATTTCCGGCGGAAATAAATTCGTCGCAAATTCCGGCGGATTTTTTTCAACGAATTTCCGACATAATTTTTGATTGTTTTTCCGACGGATTTTTTTCGATGCAATTTCCGACGGAAATTAAAAATTAAATATTTTTTATTTTAAAATATAACTTAAATTATTGAATTAATTAAGTTAATTAATTTTTAATTTTTAATTTTTTTGTTTCTGCCGGTATCAATTAAGTTACTTATTGGATTTTTAATTTTAATTTTTACTTTTTAATTTTTAATTTTTTATTTTTAAATTTTTAATTTTAAGTTAATTATTGAATTATTGAATTAATTAAGTTAATATTTTTTATTTATGCCGGTAACAATTTTAAGTTAATTAGTTAAGTTAATTATTTTAAAATTAAATATTTTCTATTTTAAATTAATTAATTTTTATTTTTATTGTTAAATTAAATTAACAAATTTTAATAATTAAGTGGCAATAGTTTAAATAAAAAATAAGTAACTTACTTAACAGATTTTAGTTTATGAGTAGTTGGTAGAATCCTTTAAAGCCTGAGGAGGAGGGGGCGGGTTCGAATCCCGCTGTGAGCACTGGGCGATCCGCGCGGGGAGGGAGGAGGGAGGCGGGTCGCGGCGGGTTCGGCCTGCTTTCAGTCGGTCAGGTCGTCTAGGGTCGGGTCGCAATTGCTGGCGGGGGCTGCTGGAGCGGGAATTGAGGAGCAGCTGCTGTGTGTACGTAAGTGTTTTTTTTTTTTTGCATAAAATTTCCGACAAATAAAAATTTCGACGGAAATATTTTTCCAGCGAAAATTCCGTCGGAAATGCGCCGGAAATAATTCCGGCGCATTATTTTGCGCCGGAAGTCCTTTTACGACGCGCGTGAAACCGGCGGACATATTTCCGCCGGAAATGCAAATTTCTGACGGATTTTTGGTCATTTTCCGACGAAAATGGCCGCCGGAAAATGACGTTTTTCCTGTAGTGATATAATAAACTTAAAAAGTAAGAACTTATACTTAAAGCAATGTGAAATAAGAGGAGGGGTGGTGGTGTGTCAAAGATATTTAAATGAAAATATTAAAAAACTTATTATTATTACATGGCATTACAGCGCCTAAGATCTAGTGATGTTGCACTGCATGTTGTCCCTAGAGTTACTGTAAAACAAAACCTTCAATACTGTGGAGATATTTCTTGGTACCGTAGTGCTCTCAAAGCTACTGTGCTTGCCAGCCCAATGCTGCAACATTGCCCGCTATATCATATTTTCATATTTTTTAAAAATAAATTCATTTTAAATCTTTTGGTTAATTCAAAGCCTATAAGCTTATTTAGGTTTTGATTATTATAAATGTTATTGGTTGAGTTGAGTTTTGGCTAATGATTCAATATATGTTGGCATTTTGTTTAAAATAACATTTTGGTTATATAGTGGATTAAGATTGATACATGACTAGACATACAAAAATGATGCCAATCACTAGCTGATGAACGTGTACTCCGCTAAAGCTTAAATAGGAAATATATAGATCTTTATCCATCAAGACAAAAGACGATTATCAAGGAATCACGGACATACTTTTATGTTTATTGGATATGTTTTCTTGTATGTACCAAGTATATAATTTATGTGAAATAATAAGGCACATACACATGAGAGCAAAATTAAGAAAAGAATGCTTCGAAAATCTACTTCAAATGGTTAATCAAGATTTCTTAAGCTCATACAGGATGATCTCTGGGATGATTGAAATCATCTCTGACATTCGTCCATTATGATTGACATCATATTGTATGATTAGTTTAACAACGAAGATTTCATCTAGATGATCTACGTGATGATCAAATTTTATCTCTGCCAATTGTACTATATACGATTAACATCGTATGGTATAATCTGCCATATTAATTCAACTTTGATTTGATCAACTAATCACGAAGATAAATTTAAATAAATTTTCAAATATTATATATAGTATGAAGATATTCATATAGTACAAACAATACAAAATAAAAAATTCAAAATACTTACCTAAATTTGATAAGCGGTTAGGATTTTCATATTAAACAGATCGTACAATATGATCTTAATCATACAGTATGATTTTTTTAAAATATTAATTATATAATTAGCCATTTTAATTGATTTTGCAAATAACTGATCATATAATATGATATGGATTGTATGGTACGATTACTTCAAATTTTTTAAATTTATTTTCTCACTCTCTTGTGTGTGTGTGTGTGCATGGTCATCAAATTAGCATACACCCTTATATGACTTAGACTCAAGAAATATAACATTATAAAAATTAAAAGTACAAACTCTTTCAACACATGCTATTCCACCCAATCTTGAGCCTGGAATAATCTTGAAAGGTGTATGATATACTTGAAATATTAGTACACACATAAATAAATATACAATGCAAATGCTAAGAGAAATGAAAATCCAATCAATAATATTTGTTATCATCAAAATCACACTCATGGAATTCTAGATTGCAAAATTAACACCCGGCCTTCTTTGCTTACATGTAAATGACACATTCATTTCATATTAGTCATGTCATTTTTCAATTTAATGTAAGTGAATATCATATATGAAATATACTTATCTAAGAAATATAAGAAATCTAATCACTATTTATTTACTCCAAATAATCATAGTTTTTTATTAACCTAGTGAAATTCAATAATATTACTGTCAAAATTCTCATAAAATTCATAATTAACATATAAAAAGTTATAAAATAAAAGTGTGATAGATGAGGAGAAAAAACTATCAACTTAAGAAAGATTCAAATCATCATATTCAAAATTATTAAAAAATAAAGTGAGTTTTTGGTTACCTACCATTAATAAAATAAATATCCAAATAGAACTGACAAATGAAAATGCTCTGAGCCCTTTTCTCTCTCTTCTCTCTCTCCTCCTCTCTTCTCTCCTCTTCTTCCCTTCCTTGACGCCTTCCACAACAAGGAAACAAAATAAGGGGGAGGGTAACGAGTGGAGAAAAAAATTATATTAAAAATCTTTTTTAGTTCCTAGTGTCACGATGCTCCAACCCAGCGATGCAATGCTGTATGCTTATTCTAAAGTTACTATAGAATAGAGCATCAGCAACACCGCATAGAATTTCAATGCCCCAGTATTTCTCCCTTCATAGCCACTATGCTCAAAATTACAACATTGCATCACCACAGTTAAAATTTTTTATATTTTCATATTTTCATTTTAAAATTATTTTTAAGATTTTAGGTTGTTACAAGTATAAGGTCTCATATAATCTCAAGAAAGCTCTTAGGAGCATATTTATTGGTGATTTTGATTTCTTATGTTAGAAGATATTCTTGGTTGTTAATATTGATGACACATATTTCTTCCATTAAAATATGGTTAATATCAAACATATAAAGAAAGAAATGCTTTACTAATTAATAGAGTGGGATAAATCCAAGTAGAGTTCAAAGTGTGTTGGGGATTATAATTATGGTACAATTATAGTCAATGCCTTGGAATATTTTTACACTATTATGCAAAGAGCATAAGGACTATCAATTTAAGTACGAATTTGTGCAATCTACTAAAATATTAGTATATTATTTCTAAGATGTCTTAGTTCACCATAAGAATTAGAAGCCATTAAGGAATCACTAATAGTTTTTAGGGCCAGGCTCATTCTATAATAATATCGGTTGGAGGCAAGATGATTCCTAGAACCTACTTGTATTAACTAACATCAATATTGAGTTCTTTGCTTTAGTTGTAGATCATTCTAGGTGGACCTTGGCCCAAACAATGCCTATAGTTATACATGCGGTAAACTTTAAACTTATGACCTATCTTGTTCATATGTTATAGTAACATTGGGATACACATGTGTATATTATTTAATTATATATTTCTTAGTACTCCACTATTGATAGTTATAAGAAGACTTTCATGTCAATGTTCCATGTCATCCCCAAATGTTATACTTGTCATAATTATAACCCAAATGTTGAAATCAATAAGTTGGCTCTATCAGGCTTTAGGCAAAAGCAATTAAACCCCAAATAGGACGTTACATAAATACTATGTATGAAAGTGGGTTCAAGGAGCATAAGATTTATGGTTTATGCACTAATGTCTAACATAATAGGTCAACACGTGCTTTTAATCCTAATAATATTATGTAATACATTTGTATCTTCATATTAATTTGTTTTATGTTATATACTCATTTTAGTATTTATTTTACTAAAATTATATTTTTGAAGACATGATGGCAGAAGGAGATAGAGGTCAAAGGTGATATGCACCACAATGTATTGATTCTATGGAGATTGATGCTCGTCTATCACTTGACGAGGTTCACCTTGCGATTGCCAAGTTAGAAGGATATATAGATCGAACAACACATCCAAATGAGGTACTAAATTCTACGTACCTACTTTATCTATTAAAATAGTTTTAAATGTTAGCCTTCATCTATAATGTTCTATACTTATGATAGGGCATTATTTTGGAGGCCCCATCACATTTGCTTATAGAGAAAAAGTAGCAAATTAGTTGTTCTCACTTCATTAAAGATCTACGGAAAGTAGGCCTATATGATATTATGCATTTGCATATAAGGCATGATCATCATTTACATATCACATTAGTTGAGCGTCAGTCTCATCAAACTAACATATTTATTAATCTATATGTGAGATAGTTATTATATTACATGATATTGACACATTATTAAGTATTTGTATCAATGATCCATCATTAGTACGTCAAAATATATTCGGTGCTAGTAGGAGGGGATGGTCATTACTTTTCTATTATGATGATTTATTTTCTATGCTTATTTTAATCAAATGGCATGCTACGATCTTTTTTTTATGCTTACTTTTAAAAAAATAATACATTATCATCATGATTTTGTCGATCCACATTATATCCTTTCATGATGTCATTACATAGGAAAAAATCAAAAGAGACATAATCAAATTATTCATTTCAATGATAATGAAAGATGATGGCTATTGTTAAACAAGAATGCTCTAATCATTCAAAGAAACTAACTTTCTAAGGGCAGTAAATTAAAAAGCTAATGCATCTTTAGGAATGTCAGCTACAATCATGCAAGTTAAAATATTCCTTTAAAAGGCTTGCTCCCAGTAGCAAAACGAACTGGAGGTAAGCATCCAAAGACCTGCAGCAAAACAAAGCCAGCAACGAGAATTTCCACTTGGTTTCCTCTGTTTTGGGAATTGCAGCGGGAATATCAACAAGATTACTCAAAGTGCTCTCTGGTTTCAATTACTACAGCTGGACTATGATCGTATGGGAAGTTTTTTGCAACTTGCACTTTCTTTGTTCATCAATTATGCAGCTGGATGTACTAGTGCTGTTGCTCCTACCACGTTTTGGTTATTTCACTTAATTTTGTTTTTTTGGGTGGTATAGAAGGGGTATAGTTGTGATTTCTTTCTCTTTGCCTGCATAAGGTTTTGGTCTTGCTTTTGTAGGCTGTTTTCTTTACTTGTATTTTTCACTTGTAATATCATCTTTTTACAGTAATAGATGGGCTTAGGCCTCAAATTTTCCCAAAAAAAAGGGATTTTTACATGCATACCACTTTATAACATATGTATTACATATTTAACACTCAAAACTTAAATATTTCTTATATACCACTTTAATCCAAACTTAACCTCAGAAATACCACTCCGTCTTACTCCGTTCGCTCGGTTTCACCTTCACGCCCGCTTAGCAGTTAAAATCCCTAAAAACTTTCGGCTCTTCCCACCGAACGCTTGAGGAAATCCCGTTCTCCTTCGTCTCTTACCACTGGAAGGAGAAGTAAGGTAAGATCTGCTCCTAAACTCCCCAATATCGTCTATTTTCCCCAATGTTTCTTCAGCTCATTCATCGAATACCGAGCAAATACCGAGTAATACCGAGAAATACCGAGTTGTACTGAGTTTTTCTAGAAAAACTCGGTACAACTCGGTATTTCTAAAAAAAAGTTTTTCTAGAAAAACTCGGTATAACTCACTATTTCTAGAAAAACTCGGTATTTCTAGCAAATACCAATTTTTTTTAGAAAAACTCGGTAAGAAAAAACTCGGTACAACTCGGTATTTCTCGGTATTACTCTGTATTTGTCTTCACAGAGAGTATTTCTCGTTATTGTCAAGCAATACCTAGCAATACCGAGCAAATGCCTAGTAATACCTCGCAATACGCGAACATAGCATTCTCGGGTTCCGGTCTGGGTCAAGTCGTCGGGCCGCGCGGTAAAGAATAAGAGCACGTGGCGACATGTTATTGGCGGCCGAACGTAGCTCTAAGTTTGGTCAGAGGACCTAATAATTGTTCCTTTCTAAGGGCAATAAATTAAAAAGCTAATGCATCTTTAAGAATGTCAGCTACAATCATGCAAGTTAAAATATTCCTTTAATATCCAGTATTTTTTTTTTTTTTTTTTTTAAGAATGGGCAGCCGGCTTTCAACAAGCCAAATTTTGAAAGAAGATGTAGAAACGACAGCGAATCTAAGAGAAGCAGCAATGTTTCCCATGTCTCTCGCCCTCCTCCTCTCGATTACAAAACTCTTATCTTTCGCCACCGCCGCCGATGTCGAAGCCGCCGGATCTTCCTCTGTCTCGAGGTTCGTCTTCAATGGCTTTCTCGGCGCAAACCTCAATCTCAACGGCGCGGGGGAGATCCTGCCCAGCGGCCTCCTCCAGCTCACCAATAACACTCACAAGCAGGAGGTCGGCCATGCATTCTTCCCCACTCCCTTCCTTTTCTTGAACTCCTCCTTGGGGGAGCCCTCGTCGTTCTCCACCTCGTTCGTTTTCGCCATAGTTCCCCAATACTCCGACCTTAGCTCCGAAGGCATCGCTTTTGCGGTCTCCCCATCCGTCAACCTCTCCGCCGGCTTGCCCAGCCAGCACCTCGGCCTTTTCAACCTCAGCAGCAACGGCGATGCCAGTAACCATATCGTCGCCGTCGAACTTGACACCACAGAAAGCAAGGAGTACGGTGACATCAACGACAACCACGTCGGCATCGACGTCAATGGCTTGATATCTGTCGCCTCCGCGCCCGCCTCTTTCGCTCCCAACTCGACGTTCGATTCCCAGTTCGAAAACCTGAGCTTGATCAGCGGCGAGCCGATGCGAATTTGGGCAGAGTATGATGCGAAGAACTTCCAGTTCAATGTAACTTTAGCTCCTCTCCATGTCAAGAAACCCAACTTGCCTCTCCTCTCATCAAAAGTCAATCTTTCTTCGGTTTTACTGCGTGATATGTATGTTGGCTTCTCATCCTCCACTGGCCATGCGGCTGGGTCGCATTACATCCTGGGTTGGAGTTTTGCCCTGAACGGAAAAGCAGAGGAGCTCGATCCTTCTCAACTTCCAACACTACCGATAACAGAAGAAGAGCCCGCTGCTGCTAAGCAATTGGTTATACTTCTTCCGACAGCCGTTGCGGTATTGTTGGTGACCATTTCTATAATTATCGTGGTTGTGCTGTCGAAAAGGAGGAGGAAGTACGCGGAGGTGATTGAAGAGTGGGAAACAGAGTACGGGCCTCATAGATTCTCGTACAGAACTCTCTACAAAGCCACCGGAGGTTTCAGCAACGACAACATACTCGGAAACGGGGGCTTCGGGGAAGTCTATAAAGGTATGCTTTCGAAATCCAAGCAAGAGATCGCGGTGAAGAGGATCTCCCATGATTCAAAACAGGGGATGAAGGAGTTTGGGGCAGAGATCGCCAGCATCGGCCGTCTTCGGCATCGCAACCTCGTACAGCTTCTCGGATACTGCCGGCGACGAGGGAAGCTCATGCTGGTCTACGAGTTCATGCCCAACGGAAGCCTGGACAAATACATCTTTGGGCGAGTAGAGCAATCTCTTAGTTGGAAACAGAGATTTAACATAATCAAAGACATCGCGGCCGGGCTGCTTTACCTGCACGAAGAATGGGAGCAAGTGGTTCTTCACAGAGACATAAAGGCGAGCAATGTACTCATAGACGCCGAATTCAATGGAAAGCTTGGGGATTTTGGACTAGCGAGGCTACACGATCGCGGGGAGACTGGGGAGACGACGAGGGTGATGGGGACATTCGGTTATCTTGCTCCTGAGCTATCCAGGACGGGGAAGTCTACGAGGAGCTCAGATGTGTATGCGTTTGGGGCGTTTCTGCTCGAAGTGGCTTGTGGAAAACGGCCGGTGGAGCTGAGGGGGTGTGGGGTGGAGTTGGTTTTAGTCGATTGGGTGACGGAGTTTTTGAGGAGAGGAGAATTGATGGAAGCGATGGATAGGAGATTGGGGGAGGACTTTGTGTTGGAGGAGGCGGAGATGGTATTGAGGTTGGGGTTGATATGCTCCCATCCGGTGGCGGAGGCCCGGCCGGGTATGATGCAGGTGGCGCACTACCTTCTAGGAGAGGCGCTGCTGCCAGATATGACGCCGGAGGATTTCCCCTTATTTCAGTCGGCTTCGATCAGGAATGCGCTGGTTCTTGGTGCGTCATCCTCGGACTAGCTATTAAGATGTATTAGTACCTAAGTTCCTAAGAATGTACTACTTATTAAGCTTCTACCAATCTCTGTTTTACACGTGTACCTACTAGCCGTCTAACAGGCTATATATATCTCCCTATGTATTAAGAAATGATTTGATCAAGTAAATAAGACTTATGTCTTCTTGTTTACTATCTTCGTATATCTTCCTATTCCTTCTTCTGTTGCTCTGTTTCTACATGGTATCAGGCCTGTCTTCTTCTTCTTCTTGATCAGCAAATGGCTACATCTCAATTAGCTTCTTCTGCCACTGAACAACAGCACAGTGCTCCGGCAGAAACTTCCCACATCTCTCAATCTCTCAAATTCGTGGTGTCTAACCTCAAAACGCTGGTACCAAATCAACTATCAGCTGAGAATTATCCAATCTGGCGTCATCAAATTCTCAAACTTCTCCGCGCTAACGACTTCGATCAATTTCTTGCACCGCCGACGTCTTCCGAGACTTCCTCTGACCCTACAGACGTCTTCACGCACAAGAATTGGCGTTTCATAGACCAGAATCTTCAGGCGGCCATCTGCTCGACAATATCCCGGCCATTACTGCCTTATATCCTTCATCTTGACACTACCTATGAAATTTGGCAGGTTCTTGAAAGCCAATTTCAAGCTACCAGTCAATCCAAGGTGATACAGCTCAAGAATGAGCTACACAACGTCTCCATGAAGAATCTCTCCATGATTTAGTATCTCACCGAGATCAATAAGCTCGTCGATCAAATCGCCTCCGCCGACTCTACCGTCGACACTGAAGATATTGTTCTGTACATCATGAACGGCTTGCCTCCGGCGTATCAATCATTCAAGACCTACATTCGCAACTCACCTCAGCAAATTCGTCTTGAAAATCTTTATGCCATGCTCATCAGCGAGGAAATTTACATTAACGTCGATGCTGCACGCAACCCCACTGACAACAGCCAGCAGGTGGCGTTATATGCTCAAAGAGGTCGCGGCCGTCGATCAAGAGATCGATCGAACCCATCCTCGAACTCATCTAGTCGCCCCAGCCAATCGCAACAACAGCTTCCTACTTGCCAGATCTGCGCCAAGAAGGGTCATATGGCAGATATCTGCTGGCATCGTATGAATGCCTCCTACACTTAGCAACCGAGCAACTCCAAATAGAACAATGCTCTGTTGGTCAACACCGAAAATCCTTCTTACGACTGATACCTTGATTCTGGGGCGTCCTCTCACATGACAAATGCGGCAGACAACCTCCACCAACCCGCTACATATCAAGGAAACGAAGGCGTATTCATCGGGGACGGAAGGAACATACCCATTGCTCATTAGGGCACGGGCATTCTTCCAACCCCGAACCGTAAGCTTCACTTACTAATCTACTTCATGTCCCTAATATCTCTCATAATCTTATATCTATCTCTTATCTTGTTAAAGACAACAACATCTCGATTACATTTGATCCAATGGGTTTTGTGTTTAAGGATCTGATGACAAACCAGGAGCTTCTTCGTGGTCCATGTAGAGCAGGACTATACAAGATCTCTCCAACAGAAACTCAACAGCACCACACCTCTGCGCTTCAGGCGTCCAAGAACCCGATCTTTAGATGGCATGATCGTCTCGGCCATCCTCATCTACGTGTTCTGCAAAACATAGCTCACAGCAATCCTAGTTTACATATTCCTCATTCGTCTTTTTTTCTTGTACTACCTGTATTCAATGCAAATGCCACAAGATTCCGTTTGAACCAGCCAAAACAAGAACTCAATCACCTCTTGAATTGGTTGCATTCTGATGTATGAGGACCGGCACCGGTCACCTCTACTCAGGGTTATAAATTTTTTGTTATATTTGTTGATGATTGTTCTCGCTATACATGGCTGTTTCCAATTGTGCATAAATATTATGTCTCTACTGTCTTTAAAAATTTTACTACTTTTATAGAAAATCAAACTAACTACAAAATTAAAGCACTTAGGACCAATGGGGGTAAGGAATTTATCAATCAGCAAATGCTCAACTTCATTCAATCCAAAGGCATTCAGCTTCAATCCTCGTGTCCCTACACTCCGGAGCAGAATGGGGTCTCCGAACGCAAAAATCGACATATCCTGGAAACAACGAGATCACTCATTCATAAAGCCTCCGTTCCTGCGGTTCACTGGCCCGAAGCCTGCACAACGGCTGTGTATCTGATTAACAGAATGTCATCGTCTAACACATCCAACAAGTCCCCTCTTCAACTTATGTTCAACAAACTACCTGACTACACTCACCTAAGGACGTTTGGTTGCGAATGCTTTCCTCTTCTACCTAAGCACACGCGCACAAAGCTGCAACCGAAGGCTAGCTCATTTGTGTTCATGGGATACTCCGATATACATAAGGGCTATAAATGTTTCAACAGGGACTCTGACCGAATCTTTATCTCTCATCATGTTATATTTCTTGAGGATTCTTTTCCTTTTAACCTAACTACTCTTCCTACTCAGCTCCAGACTCAGGACATACCTCCGACAATGCTTCTACCGGTCTCCAAAGCCTCGGATATTAAAGCGTCTCTCCCTATGAACTCTACACACAGCCCTGAACATCCTATCTACACTCCACCTCAGATCGGGGTATCTAGTCAGTCCAACCCGCCTATAAGCATCACGCCCATTCCGGTCCAGGATCAATTGTTTCAACTTCCCAAACATCCCATGGTCACCAGGCTACAAACAGGGTCCTTAAAACCGTCTTGTCGTCTGAATCTTCTTGCCACTAAATCACCCTTGACTGACCCGGATCCCACAAATTTCTCGGAAGCTAACAAACATCTGGAGTGGCGACAGGCGATGGAGGAAGAGTTCATAGCTCTTCAAACGCAGGGAACATGGTGCCTTGTCCCCCCTCCTCCCAACGCATCGATCCTTGACTGCAAATGGACGTTTCGTAAGAAGTTCAATGCTGATGGCTCGGTAGCTCGGTTCAAGGCACGGTTAGTAGCTCAGGGTAACAAGCAAGAATACGGCATCGACTACGGTGAGACGTTCAGTCCGGTGGCAAAATTGCCCACCATCCGAATTCTATTCACTCTGGCCAAGGGCGGAACTGTTCATGGCATAGGGGGGCAATTGCCCCACCTTTAAAAAAAAAATTTATTAGAGAAGGGTAATTTATTAACTTGACCCCATAAATTTGCTATTTTACCCCTGATTCAACGAACAAAAAATGACGCCCAGTCACGCCTGCCAGGGCTTCTCTCCGCTTCAGTTATTCGCGTGTGTGGAAGCTCGGTGATCCGCCGTTCGTGTCTGGCTTCGTGAATCGCATTATCGCAAGGCTTCATTCATTCGTTGTCGGCAGGATCCTCTTCCCTTCGTGGCTTGACTGGCTTCGTGAATCGCAGATTCGCAAATCGCAAGGGCTTCCGACTTCCGTGAGATCTAGGTTAGTTTTGATTGTTCTGTTTGTTATTTTTTGTTTGATTTTTTGTTATTTTGATGGATTTTCATACCCAAATGATGGTGTGGATTTTTGTGTATTTCATATTTTCATGATTCATGGTGCTTTAATTTTTTTTGCTATATCTATTTTCATACCGAAATGAACAATAAGAAAGGAAAGAAAAGGGAAAAAATCTGATATGCATTGATCTTCTTTCATTTTTGGAATGAGAATATGAGATAAGCCTAACACTTTTTTTTTATAGAATAGCATTATTTGTTATTGCGTTTGATCTTCTTTCATTTTTGCAATATGTAGAAATTTTTTATGCGTTGATCTTCTTTTCATTTTTGCAATTATGTAGAAATTTTTTATGGCGTTGATCTTCTTTCTTTGAATGTTAGATTATTGGCTAACAATTCAAACTAATTTATATTTAATTTTTACGGTAGAATGAATCTAAAAAACATTAAATTAATCTAGAGGAAGTGGAATCCAAGAAATTATTACATTTGGCAAGTTAGGTTGTAATTGCTTATTGGTTGGTAACAAAAACCTAATTCCAACTTAAATGCACCTTTTTGTTAAGAAAAACCAAATTTGTAACGTCGTTTGCATAACTGTATGGGCAAGGTGGTGGTTTCAGGTCAACAACCTTTCATTTTACTTTTTACTTATAATAATATGGAGGGTTATTTTTGATTGAACATAATATTTATATTTCATTTAGGATTTAGGATTCGACGGTTATTATTCTTTTGGTAATAAATTTTATTTTAGGATTTAAAGAAATGGAAGCGTTATTTAAAGAGGAAAGAACGCGAATAGAAATTGAATTTAACATCTTCCAAGCAAGATCCAGGACTCCGACTTCCTATTTGGAATTATGAATGTAAATGATAGAGGATAAGGGAGAATGTGACGGAATGGTTTACTAGATGAAGTTGTCACGTTTTTGTGGTTTTTGAAGTTGTTGTCCAAACATGAATGAAACATATTAAAACTCGTCGTCGATCAGTAAGAGGAGGTTGAAGATAAAACAAACTCTACATCATTATCGTGTTGATTTATTTTAATACAAGTAGTTGACATGCAACTTTCAAGCAGTTAAACAATCGCTTTTCTGAATCAAGTGCTGAGTTCTTCTGTGTAATGTCATGCTAAACCCAGTGATTCTTTTCGTGCTTATGATGAGAGGAAATTGATATGTCTAGCACAGTTATATCCAAGTGATTTTTCTACAATTGAGGTTATTGCTCTTAAAAATCAATTAGCAACGTACATTATCGATATGCGGACCAGTGAAGAGTTCTCCTCTCTAAGAAGCATTGCTGATCTTGCAAAGCAGATTGTTAAGTTCAAGAAGAATGATGTGTATCCTTTGGTTTACAAACTTATTACTTTATCATTAACCTTACCAGTTGCTACTGCTACGGTGGAGAGAGCATTTTCAGCCATGAAAATTATCAAACATCGATTGCGTAGTAGGATGGGTGATGATTGGCTCAACGATTGTCTTGTGCCTTACATTGAAAAAGATGTATTTGATTTGATTCCCAATGAAGATGTTATCCAATATTATCAAAAAATGCAAAATAGATTGATAAAATTGTAATGATTTTTAATTTTCCTATCATAATGGAATACATGATTTCACTTTGAATTATATCATCTTTTTTTTTTATATTAGTCTATTATACAAAGAAAATTTTGCCCCCCCTAAGATGAAAGGCTGGTTTCGCCCCTGACTCTGGCTATTACCAAAGGTTGGACGGTTCAACAGCTCGATGTCTCCAATGTGTTTTTTTACGGTCAGCTCACAGACACGGTATACATGGCGCAGCCAAGAGGCTTCATCGACAATACTCATCCGAATCACGTATGCTGGCTTCGGAAATCAATATATAGCCTTAAACAGGCTCCACGCCAGTGGTACATAACCTTCACTAACTATCTTCTCACGATCAGCTTCAAGCACATCCAAGCTGATCTGTCTCTCCTCACGTATCAACAAGATCATACGCACATCTTCCTCCTTGTCTACGTCAACGACATCCTCGTCACTGGCAACAACCAAGAGACGATACACAGAGTGCTGTCCAAGCTACACTACAAATTCAACATGAAAAATCTCGGACCTGCTCACCATTTTCTTGGAATTAAGATTCAAAAACTTCCAGATAAGTTCTTCTTGCCTCAATCATCCTATGCGGCATCAATTTTAAACTCTGTAAATCTGACATCTTGCAATTATCTTGCAAATCCGTCTTGTACCAAACTTCTGATCCAAACTTCCATGGATGCAACACTCTCCGAGCCTAGCACATACATACGTGTCACAGGATCTCTACAATACCTGACGCTAACCCGTCCAAACATAGCCTACGCGGTTAACATGCTCTCTCAACATATGCACGATCCCTCCTCTCAACACATCTATCTCTTAAAAAGGTTGCTGCGGTACATCAAAGGAACGCTGACTCTTGGATTACCTATTGTTCAAGCTCCGCTCACACTGACTACTTACTCTGATGCTGATTGGGCGAGCGATACTACAACAAGGAAGTCTACTACCGGCTACTGCACATTCTTAGGTGATACTCTGATCTCATGGGCAGTTAAGAAACAATCAACGGTTTCCCGGTCGTCCACAGAATCGGAGTATCGCGAGCTAGCGGCTGCCATCGCATATACAATTTGGCTCAAGA